TTGGCCAGTGTAACAAGTAAAATGATAACTGTCTTTCCCGGGCGAATAAACCCTTCTTCCGTATTGTTTGAGAAGGGAGGCATTCGCTCTCTGATAAACCTCCATTCTGCACCGAGAGGTGAAATATTCCGCGAGTTACTTTCTAGATGATACTTCACGTGAGGTGCTTCAACCGTTGGTTCATCAGATTATTCCTCGTTTGCACTGCGCTCAGGAGGAACACGTGTTGTTTGAGGAGCGGCCCCATGCTGCGCACCATTCATCAACGTGGCGTAAAGATTTTCCACGTATCCCTGCACGCTCCTCACCAAAACTTCATTAAACTCCGCTGGCGACATATTATAAAGCGTCGACGGGTACGCCACAATGTTGTGGCTTACGTTGTTACCAGAAGAAGTAACATTTTCTGCTGTGTTTGCCATACCGCCTTCGCGTGTTTCCTCTGAAGGGGCCGAATTACCGTCCACCACCTCTTGCATATGTGTGGGGTCCATGTGCCGCTCCACTGTGTTGCTGGATTGTTCAACAACAGGCACCTGGACAGCACTGTCGTCTTGGGGAGGAGCAGGCGTGGGTGGGGAAGTGTGCGGGGAAGTCTCGGCAGTGTCAGTTGTCAGGGGATTTGATTCCCTCGGCACAGAGTGTGGCACCGTCGGCGAGGGTGGTGTGCCAGAGTCCAGTGGCTCCCTTCTTTTTTTCCTTCGCTGACGCAACACATACACCACGGCGACAACCAGAGCACTCAACAAAACGATGCCGGCAATGACAATCCCGGCAATGACTCCACCAGACATTCCTGTGGTCGACTCAACATCATCCTCCCACACGTCCTCCGACACACTCTGCATATGCGTGTAGGTGCGTCCTCCAATTGTCACGTTGGCTGCGATGAAGCAGAACCTCACATCCTTAACAAGCATTCCCCTGCTGGTGAGATCCAGAAATACAGATGATGACCACGACAACCCACTCTTCTCGCACACACACCGCCCCGCATATACGGAATCACATGTTTCATCCTGTGGCACAGCGCACACCGTGTACGGCTCTCTGCGCCACTCGA